CCGCTCTTCCCGCCACCACTTGCAACGCCCGCAGGCGCGCCCGCGGCGGGCGGCGCCGGTGCAGGGGCTGCGGGCGCGGCAGCGGCGGGGGGCGGGCTCTCCGACCTGTTCAGGCCGCCTGAGAAGATCCTGTTCAAAGGGCCGTTCGAGGCCGCGAAGGCAGCAGGTGGGCGTCTGGGGTCGTCGTGATGTTTGCGGCGGCTGCAAACGGCGACGCCGGCGCGGGCCTGGTTTTGGGCGACGAGTGTTCAGCCCATGCGCGGCCGCGGCCGCACTGCCCCTTGCGCGTGCGAGATTGCGGCGTGCGGGCGCAGAGGCGAGAGGGCAGAGGCCTGCCCTGCATGCGAGCCCCCGTGCCGGCCGGGGCCCAGCGCCCAGGCTCCGCCTGGCGTAACGCCTCGACCCACAAACCCGCCCTCCTGGCGGGTTTCCAACCCCGCCGCGCCCGTGCACCCCGCACTCCTGGTCGCAGCCAACAGCCAGGGGCGGTGGCTGCTCGTCAACATCCAGGGCGCCTCGGAGTTCGCTTCCCACAGGTCGGGCCGCTTTTTCCCGCATTTTTGCTTTGTTGAGCGCCTGCCAGCCCGTTGGTGCGACAAATGCATCGGCAAATGCACGCGCAGCACGTCGGATAGCAGGCGGCACGCCAGCACGCGCGTGCGCGGGGGACAGCCACGTGCGGCGGCGGGGTCTCCTGGCGGGCGGCTCCCTTGCTGACGTCACTTTGGGGGTTCTGAGGGTCCCAGGGCTCGTGGCGTGGGGGTCGCCTGGCAGCCCTGATCGCCTTGCACAAACATGTCGAGGATCTTTTGATGTTGTGACGCGTGGGAGGTGCCCCACCCCCGCTGCTCTCCCGAGCGCTCCCGCCCCTCCAACCCCCCTGTAACCCCCTGCCACTTCTCATTCCAAACCAGGTTGAATCGTGACACCTGGCAGGAGCCGCTGCTGCAGGACATGCTCACAGGGATGTTCGTTTTCTGGCAGGTGCGCTGGGCCCCGCGCACGCACGCGCGCGCGCGCGCGCACACGCGTGTGTTTTCCGCAGCCCCACCCTCGCAGCCAGGCGCGCGCGTGTACGCGGTCCTGCCCAAATCAGCGCGGCCGCCGCTTGCGTGCCCCCGGCCGGCCGTGCTTCCGCGCGCCCCCGACGCCCTGTCGAGGCGCCAGCAACAACTCCCACACCTGAACCCCCTCCGCACCGTGGCGCCTGAGGCAGCTGTCCCCCTCGCTCCCCCCCCCCTGGCCACCCTTAATCCTGCCGCCAGGCGTACGACACCACACCCCAGGGGGCCGCCGCGATCCGCGCGTACCACCTTGCATCCCTCCCCGCCATCTTCATTATCGACCCCATCACGGGTGAGCGGGGGGGGTGGGATGACGGACACACGTGCACGCCCTGTGTGTGCGTGGGTGTGTGCGTGCGCCCTGGTGTGTGTGTGTGTGTGTGTGTGTGTGTGTGTGTGTGCGCGTGTGTGGAGTGTACGTAACTGCTGTGTGTGTTGCCAATCGACTACCCACCCGGTATGAAGGTGCGAGCGCCCAAGAATGGGGCCAGAGGTTGTACTGTAGCGGCGCTCGCAGTGGAACAGCCCCGGGGGCGCTGGCGCGCTGTGCTCTTGCGCAATCCACCCCTCCCAGCGAGAGCTTTTCCGCGAAACTTGCGTTGACCCCCTTCCCCCACACACGCATGCACATACACACACACGTTTACCCACGCCAGCCGCCTCAAAAACACACCCGCTCCGCCCCAGGCTCCAAGATTTGGGAGCGCACCGGCTTTGTGGCGGCGGATACCTTGGTGGAGGAGCTCGTGCCCTTCATGGACGCGGGGCCCTCAGACCCCGCGGCCTCGCGCCTCGCGCAGCAGGCGCGACTCAGCGCCTGCCTGCTTGGATCCCCGTTTTCTGAGCAGCGGCATGCGGCTGTTTTCGGCGTTCCCTTCTTGCCTCCGCGCCGCCGGGCCTCAGGGTCCCGGAGCCTTCTGTCGCTGCTTCGGGCGCCGCGGGAGCCCTCTTCGGTTGCAGCCGCAGGAGCCCGCCTCCGCACCCCGCCTGCCGCCCATGCCCTAAATGCGGCGGGCCCCCATCAATTTCTTCCTCCTCCACACAGGCTGCGGCGTCGCTGGCGGGCAAGCGCAAGGCGGCGGGGCCGCCGGCCGCCCCCCGGACTGAGGACGAGGAGCTGGCCCTTGCGCTGGCCATGAGCGTGGAGGTGCGGTTTTCCCTGACAGCCCTCATTTTTTGGGTTTTTTTTTGGTTTTTATGGTTTTTGGGGTTTTTTTGGGGGGGGGGTGGCGTGGGGAAGGGGCGGCGACGGCGGCGGGGCGGCTGCCATGCGGGCCGTTGCTGCATCGTGGGGTCCTGCGGGGGTTGTGAAGGAGCCACACCCGGCATGCGCTCTTAGATGTTGGCGGCGGGGAGTTTTGCTCTCGTTGCTGAGTGATCGGTCATCTTGCCAACATTCTTGTGAGTGATCGGTCAACGCGCCAATGATTGGTCATCTGGCCGGGTGATTGGTCACCTCACCGAGTGATTGGTCATTCTGCTGGGCGATCGGTAATTTTGCTGGGTGGTTGGTCATCTTGTCGCGCGATCGGGCAGCTGGCAAAGTGACTGGTCACCTTGGCGAGTGACTGGGCACGTCTCGCTTAGTGATTGGTCACCTGGCCGAGTGATTGGTCACCGCCTCGCCGAGTGATTGGTCAACGCGCTGAGCGCACGGTCGGTCGCTGAATGATTGGTCGATTGCTGACTCACAGGCGTCTTGTTGAGTGGCTGGTTGCCTGATTGAGTGACTGCGCATCGCAGACTTTCGGCCAGGCCGAACGATGGGTCATCTTTGGGTGCCTAGTCAGCACCACGGGACGGGCGGTGGGCGAATGGGGCCGGCGCTCCCTTGGGTTGCGAAATCGCGCTCACTAAAGACCGACGCATCACTACACGGCGGGCGCAGGCGCTCTGAGCGGTGTACGGGAAAAGCGCCCGGGGCCGAGAGCGTCACCCGGTCTTGCCCCAGCGCTGGCCCGTCCCGGCGTCGGCCTCCAGAACTCCGCTCATCAGCAACCCCGCCCTTACACACACACACACACACACACACACACGCACACGCACACACACACACACACACACGCAC